GACTTATATTCTAATAAACTATGCGTTTGACATATCCATGCTCTTTTTAAAATATTCTCTCTCTTTCTTTCTTCTTTTGTCTGTCTCACCTCGAGGATGTAACATTGATCCGCACCGTCTAGTCTATTCTCGGCGAATCTCTCGTCCGTTTGCGCGCGCGCTTCTCTTTTAATCTGTGAGACAAATCACTCTCGTCTATTAGTAGATATTAATAGGTATTCTGTCACAAACATGTTTTTCATTGATTTGCCCGTTAACTAACTCACCGGTAATTACGTGCACGTGCAGTATTTTTAAAAAACAAATTAAAGAAAGAAGTTCGAGCTTCCTACAAACTTTTTCTAATTCACCCCTTCGTGTAAAATGTCAGATCTTTAAATAACTTAACTCTAAAAATATATGATTTATATTTTTTTTAATGTAAATAAAGAATTTTTGAATTACTAAAAGATAGATATATACAGATATATCCTAAAACTATAGTTAAGTTATTTAAATATATAAAATATTACACACACACATTTAATTTCCATTTTATTTTTATTTAACTATCCGTTTTATTTGTCAATCACGGTGCAATATTCAGTGATCTGCACTTAGATTTCAAGATAATTTCTCGAATTATTCATATTGTCGTTTTTGAAAGAGAGAGAGAGAGAGAGAGAAAGATCCGTAGAAACTTTTCGTAGTAAGATTTAACGGAAGCGGATGCGGATGAATCTAGCGAAACAAGAGGAAACGGAAACGAGCCGAAAAAAGAGAGAGAGAGAGAGAGAGAGAGAGAGAGCGAGTTTTGCCACTTCTTACAGGGTAGGGGGACAGTGAAAAAGAGCCACGAGAAAATTCTTTCTTCGAGTGGCTGGTTAAGAAGTTTTATGAGTCACCGACATCCGTGGAATGCTGAAAGGTCAATCAATTTTTCGCGATCCTTCCATTCGATATCTTTCGCGATTCATTTGTCACCCTTGTTGAATTCTCTTGACTATTATGGATTTGATCGGAACGAGATGAAAGAGAACGGCCGTGTTCAACATTGGTTACGTACTTATATATCTCTGATTAAGATCTTTCGTATCGAAGGGGATATTTTAGCGCGAACGGAAGCGTTTTATCGGGATGATCGCGAATCGTCGGGATAGGAGGAAGGATGAGTTTACGCGTATTCGAAATTGAAATCGATACGTCGAAGTCGTTTCGGATCTTCATTTCCCGGGAGAAGAGCTGCTTAAGAAATTTTTCCCTTTCGCAACAAAAAGGAGAATTCGGTCAATCCGTCGATAATGTTCTCGAATAAAATGCGCCGTGAGATTCTCTGACGTTCGCTGTGTTAAATGAAACTGATTTCTACGTCGTGAATAGAGACGAGATCGCAAAGTTTCAATGCGCAACGTATCTCTGTCGATCGATCTCAAAAGAATTTATCTGGATAAAATCTATGTAAAGCGTTGAATCATTTTTAATGAAATTTATTTTTTCAAAGAGCTTTATTTCATTCTTATTCATCTAAATTAATTAAATCTTTTCGTTCGATACTTTCATTCACACAAATTCGAATTAATCAATTTCCTGCGGATGATAATTGAGACAAGAATTAAAAGAGATAAAATGCCGACGCTCGCGATATTTCTGGTATCGCGTAGAAGCGCAGTCCAGGTATAATAAGCGTGAATCACGAGACCGTCAATCATGGAAAATGCTGAAGCAGTTAAAGCAATTAACGCAGCGGCCGCCATCGCGGCCTCTAATTTTTTCACCGCTAAAAACAACCGACGGAATCCCTTTCGAGCGCCCGAAATTCGATTTCCTTGCGCGAAGCCGCATCGCACGGGCCGTAAAATGTTATTTCCGCGTTCGTGCGAATCATTCGCGCGTCTCTTTTCGAGTCGAATTCGCGTTTAATGAAAAAATACTTGGAACGCCTGCGTAAAGCTATATATCTCAATAACAGCGATAAACAAAGAATACTTTACGGGTTTTACGAGCGGGAATCGACGCGTGTCGTTACACTGTAACGTTACAGTGAAACTGTCAAGCGTTCAGCGAAAAATTCGGTGAATTACGCGAATTTCAGTGACATGTGCGAAATGTGCAACTGACATGTATTTTCGTCAACATATGATATTTTCGAGAAAAATTTCTGAAAGCTCTAATTACTATTGTCAAATAGCATGAATAACGATTAAATAAGAATTAAATTAAAATTCTCCTCGTTATATTTTATAATAAAAATCGACGTTTATATCTAAAAAAAAACACATAATTTTGTTAAAAAAATTAATATTATCGTAAAAAAAAATTAATCTTTTCATAAAAAAATTAATATTTTCGTAAAAAAGAATTAAAGATCCTAAAATCTCTAAAAATACTATAATAGTCTACAGTACAGCAGTAGCTTGGTATTTTACATGATGTTTTTAGTATTTATTTGCGCACTTGATCTGCTTTTACCGGGACGAAAAAGTGGAAAAAATGGAGAGCGATTTCACTTCGACTTTAGCTCGAGTTCATTGTTGTGTAAACTGAAATTAATATAGCGGCGTATAGTTTCTACAACAGTACCATATCACTTAATGAAACTATGACTTTTGTTTTTATTTCAATTCGTCGTGAAACTAAAAGCCCAACATCTTGTATTAAATAATGAAACCATTTAACATATATACACTGAGAATTACGAAGTTGTAAAATTTGTTATTGGAATATTACAACTTTTCCTATCAAAACTCAACTAATATAACGACACGCACTATACAATTTCTGATACACTTCTATTTATATTGAAAAGCAAAATACATTTATCCGTATAAAAATAGAGGTAAAAATGGAAAAAGCGGACTCTCGAAGACGAGATTCATCAACGGACGTTTTCACGAACAATATGATTTATTCAGCCAGCAACTCCTTTTTGAATTGTTATAATAGTAATTATATAATTAATATAAATGTTTATATATATTAATTCTCTATATTTCTCTTGATTATAATATCGTGATAATGTGTAATATCAAACATGCGCTATCAATGTATTTCTGTTCAGGAAAACAGTCATTCCAATAATAAAGCCTTAGACTCAGATGAAATATTTAAACTGGATTATTGAATTTGCTCCAGTTTTTGACGCATCAAACAGACTGCAAATTCGCACGAGTCTATTTTCGCATGTGTATGTTTTATCCAAACATTTGGGACAAGAACAGAGGGCCAACAAAGATCTCACCGGGCGTAAACCCCAGGGTGATTCCACAAGATACGCTCTTTTGACGGTAAATCACCGGCAAGGTGCCAAAAACATTGGCAACGGTTGTAAAAGTGTGCGGAAATTCGAGCATGCAGTCCGAAAATATAATTCCGAATGTGAAATACATATATATGCGATGCCTGTAATAAATTAAAAAATCTATATAAAAATCTTTTAAATTCATAGACTATATGAACTGTGTGAATAATTTTTGCACAATTTACTAAAACACAAATTAATATTTTTTTTTTCGATTTACCACGTATACTATAAGAGGAAAAATCTTAAAGATAATTATTTTTCTCTCATTCAAACTATATGATCGATATATGTGACATAAATCGTGAATAGAGCCAGACGGAATAATAAAAATTATCGAATAACCATCGCGCGAGACAGAGTTGATAGAAAGAAGAGAAAATTGGGAGCGATAGCGAGCGCTGCCTCTGACATTAATTAATCATCCGCGGAGAGTGGTCGAGTTACTCGAGTCTGATGAATTATCGCCACCTGAGGAACCAGCCTCGGCGATATACGACCCGCCATATCTACCTACGATAATTCTCTTACGCAAGGAGCGGCAATACGCTAACGATATTCGTCCGCATGACGTTATTAATGCGCGGCGCGCAAAGTGCAAGCGTTTAATTCACGTATCAGAGCGCGACGAGATCTACAGTCGTTTTTTTCAAAGCGCGAGACTGCACCCTTCATCTCTTTGCCGGTGAGATACGGTTGATTAGTCAACATGATAACGAGAAAGGGAGACGTTGGGTCAGAGCTATGAACACGGAACGCTCGCACGGAAGGTATGATGACGTTTGATGTGCAAGTGTTATTAAGAGATTTGCACTTATTTAAAGCCTTGTATTCACATTTCCGCGGATGATGTGATATGAATCTCATTTAAATATATAATACGGCGACTGCATATATGATATTATCATAGTCGGATTCAACACTAAACTAGGAAATAAAATAATCTTTAATTCTCTCTCTCTCTCTCACGTGCATTTTCTCTTAATTTTAGAACTTATTATTATGGAACAAAGATGTAATTTGTATGTAACTTAAATTATACGTCTTAATATATCAGTAAATAAGAAAATATAAATATCACGATAATTTGACGAGACTTATTTATTTAAGAAAACAACGTGAATAGACGTCGTTAAAGGATAACATTTCTGGATAAATACCACGAGGTAAACATAAAAGTATATGTGAGCTAATAAAATATTTTATCTACAATATATGTTCGGAAAATATAGTGAATACGCGGAAAAATTTCATCCCTCCATTTACGGTATTCAGTAGAATTGGAAGAAGAAGAAAATAATAAAGCTAACGTATGTAATAATGACGGTACAAAATCAGGATTACAGAATAGAACGTATATAGGCGTATCGATATGTCATAACACTTGCTATCACAATTATTGGCATCGCGAGTGCAATTCGCTCAGTATCGTCCTTTATGGAAGATAGAGAAGGAATAAAGACCAAATATAATTATTTTTACAAAAGTATGTCATTAGAAAAAAATGGACTTCACAGCTGATAAAAAAACGGAATAAAAAATGACGATTTTGAATATTAATATTAATATCGCGTTTAATATCCCGACAATGTTGTTTCTCTCTTCTTAACAGACACGATCACTGACATTTATTTCCCTCTTTAAAGCCGTGCAAGCACATTGGTAAGGAAGAATGCAATACGCATGCAATCGAATTTTCTACCGCAAGCGATTTTTCACATACATTGTTGTCCCCGAAGATCCCGGCCAGCATGATAGTCGTCGCCAGCTGAAAAGTGTCACGTGCCAGACTCGAAATAGTTACGACTCTCCCCGTTCGGATCTAGGAGAAGGAATGTCCCTCGAACTTTTCACTGAGCGGTCCGTTTCACAAGATCGTCGAACCCGCGGAGAAGAAAGGGCGAACGCGCGAGAGGAGGGCGAAAAGAGTGAAGCGTGGAGAAACAAAAGTGCATGCGTGCGTCCGATCGTGCGTGATCACTTTTGGAGAACACGTTGGAGCTGGTCGCGAGCAGGTTGACACCTTCGGGGAGGAGATCGCGCGCAGAACTGACACCTCACGCGCGCGGTCCAGCTACCCTCAGCATCCAGCGGTGGCGGTGACGGCGACCGAGGGGGATGAAGCCGAGCACGCGCGAAATTCCGCCCTCCCCCCTGCTCCTCCCCAATCCCCTTTCCCCTGCTTGCCTCACGAACGAGCTGCAGCCACCCCCAGCCGCCCCATCCGCCGCCTCGTTCTCATCCACCGCGGCTATCCTCTCCTCGGTCAACCTTTGCCGCTCTAGCACACCACACTCCCTGTTTCGTGCCGAATTCACGCTATCATCCACGGAATCTCACTTATTTGTTCGGATAATATATAGAACTACGTTCATGGTAGAGTAGTAGTAGTAGAGTATAGCCTCTTCCGTTTGTTAGACGTAATTTCATTAATTATGTTAAATGAGGAGAACTTTAAATTCTATAATTATTTCGCATAAATGATTTCCGAGTTTTTAAGCTTCTTCTATATCTGCTTCATTTAGTCGTCTACCTTTTGACGACTCTATTTCGCCTTAATTAGCAAACTAACTGTAGATTCAGAAAGAGTTTGAGACGACCAAATTAAAGAGAAGAGATCTTACAATTATTATATTTTCCCCTGCTATGTGATAGTTTGCAAAGCTCGACAGTTCTTCGTAAAGATTGGTGTAATATATTATCGCAGATAATATGTATAATATCTCGAATATTTGCATTAAATGCAAATCTGCGTGCCATGCATATTTCAGAAAGTCTAATTAATGATAATTATCAAAAATTCAGATACGTGCATTTTACGGCAAAAATTTTTGAAATTTTCAAATTTCGCAATTCTTTGCATTGCGAAATGAACTGTAATTATTATTTTTTTTTTCCTGTACATCGCCAACTATTATTCGCTAGAATACTCAGCATTTATTATGACCTTTTTATAATTGTCCAAAGCGAACACGCCGACTCTCCAAGTGAACAAATGCTGCGCCAAGTAATTACACCGCACAATTGTACGAATATTGCAGAATCGGTGGAGAAAAAAAAATTCCGTCGAGTTTTTCATAGAGTAAAAATTTAATTTCCGCCGAGATATTTGACGTGCGTGTCTTACCGAGTTCTAACCGTAAATTGAGGAAAATGAAAATTTTTCGCGCAATCATAACACTGTCTCGATTACTGTCTTTTTTGGCTTCCATTTTATTCAAAAATATTAATATAATAAATATATAATAACTATGGTATCTCTCTTAGTCTGACTCTTCCCCTTCGACCTGTCCGGTATGAGTGTTACTAGTTATAAATTATTATACTCTGTTCAAAGTAGCAAGGGATTATTTAATATGCTGGAAAGTATATCGTGCTGAACAAATAATTCATGAGAAATCTCAAATGGTTGTAAATCCAGTTGCTCAATAAGATATAAAAAAAAAAATTTCTCTGCAACATTCATTTTATATTATTTCTATAAAATTTACTACCAAAATAAAAAAATAAAAAAAAAACTTTAATTATACATATCAATGTAAAAAGATTTACATGAAAATTTTAGAACTTGCATATTTTAGAGATTCTTATTAAATAAAAACAAAGGCAATGTAACATGTTAAATACATTTATTTCGAAGAATAATATGGAAAGTATTAGACCAAAACTAACTGATATGGCAAATTTAGTATTAAAGATCATATATACATGTATGATCTTTAACATACATCCGACTAAATATATTTTTAAAAATGCAGGTGTCAAATGCATATCTAAAGTGCGTATATTAGAAGAAATTTTGCTTTTCTCTTTATCGAAAGAATATAGACATATTCGTTATATCAGCCAGTCGGTCTAAATAAAGTTAAATCTCAATCTATATGCAGATGTTCTATATAATAAATATATAAACATTAGTCATGCATGGTCTTAAAAAAAAGAAATATGTAGCTTGATGCTGCATGATGCGGTTATAATTTAATAAGCTTGGAAAAATAATATATATATATATATATATATATATATATATATAAATGCCCATTACGAATTATGTTCCAAATTAATACTGCACCATATTAATCAAAAAGAATATATATTTGTTATAAAAAAAATATGGTACGTTAATGAGAGAAATTCTTGTGCGCAGAAGTTGATTTGCAGGGACCTTAAATTCGCGATTATACCCGAGGTAATTGCAGGGTCGAACATGCGAGAAATTTCACCCCTGCGAACCCCCCCTCTCAACAAGAGTAGCCCCTTTACGGCCCTATTTCGTCCGAACGAGCGCCTCGCACCTACAAAGGGGCGTCGAGGGTTGAAACCCTCCCTAATAATTATCAGGCAATGGAGGCCATATTGCGCGAGCCGATGACCCAACAGTATGGAATATTCAAGACTCTCGTATGCGTAAGCCAGACCACCTTAAAACCTAATTAAAATATGCAACGTGGAAGATATGGCGTTAGTACACTATCGAGGTGTAAAACGTGAAACGATAGAGGATAGAACTTTTATTTTGGACGGACTTGATAATAAGATATTATCGGTTAAACGTATATCAAACGGCTTGTATAATATATTCGCTAATAACTTTTTTATGTTCTCAAAGTTTAAGGCAGAAAATAGAAAAGCGTATATTTGTAAATCCTAAAAACCTTATTAAAAAGTAGCAATATTTCTAGTTTAGTAGTTTCTAATTTTTAATCTAAGAAAAGAGGATGCAATTTTTCCTCAGATGCTCTTGCAAGGCTCGTAAATGTTAAAGGCTGCCTCCGGTGAATCGGGACATCCTCATCATGGCCGGGAAATCCGGTCGAGCGATTTCATTTTCATACGTATCAGGACGGGCTCGGTCGCATGCGCGTGAACGTAGGTGTGTCGCCCTGTAATTAACCGGGCACTGCCGACCTACAATAATTACCCGGTAACGCCGGCGGTGGAGAGAAATGAAGAGCGTTGCGTTGCGTTGCGCGATCGACAACCTTCCCGGTCCCAAGATTATTTAAACGCGCAATCGCGACTATGTCAATTTCGATCATGCTTTCGCAACATGACGAGGTGACAAAGCCAACCGCGCTTTATTCCGATCGTAATTTAACGACCTCGCAAAACCCTTTTGTCATGTGTTTGCTCGCATCGTATTCGCGTTTCCTTGTTTTCGCGCGATTGTAAAAATATTTTATATTATCATCGACGCACGGAGATAAAACATACACGGATCCAATACGATCGTGTCGTAGCACGAAATGGTCATATAATGATCTTTTAAAGTCTATGGGATGTGTCCTCGCATTAAACTCTTTCCACGTATATATATATATATATATATATATACGTATATAAAGCGAGTTGCTAAATTCCACGTGCCAAAACTCTGTTCAGAACGGTTATTTCGAATTACCATGGGATTTGACCGGCACGATGACACGTGCCTAGAATTTCGATTCAGTTCTCCTCGATCGAGAAGAGAGTCTCCGTGCTCGCGTTAATACGAAATGCAATTAATGCAACTGGGAATATATTAAAAACGTCATTAGCGTGTACGATAATTGCGGAAACGCGAACATCATGCTTTCATCTATACTTCAAACATCCGATCCATGTCCAATCACGCTCTCTTTAGTCTGACTCTTCCCCTTCGACCTGTCCGGTATGAGTGACTCTACCGGTAACTATTAGCGTTTTCGAATGAAGCAAGTTTTATCACTTTAAGAGTGATTAAATTACTAATTTATCATAAATATATGTTTGATCAAAAATAAGTTTTAAGAGAATCTGATTAATATAAATATATGATACATTAATAATATAACTAATATAAAGTCCATCTCCCTTATTTGTTGCTATTTTGGCTTTAAACCACAAAATTCTTTGCCCTAATTAACCAATCAAACGCTTACTTGAAATATTTCATTAATTAATCTAATAATTTAAGTATTCCTAATAATCAAAACGGAATATATGATGTTATTAATCGGTCTCAGAATGATCAAACTTGCTTCACTCGAAAACGTTATATGTTGATAACGAGGTACCCATTTGACTTGCCTCAAATTTAAGTACTTGTACATTTGTTTTACACATTTGTGTGTGCATTAGTAATTTAATATTTAAAAAAAAAGTCCAACAATTTTTCAAAAGAAGATGCCACAGTTTGCGTATATATTTAATTATCTAATATATATAATATATCTATTGTATTTTACTTAGAAATATTGATGCTCTGGAACGGCAGGATGTCCAACACCTAAAAATGATTTCTTAAAAATAAAATTTATTAAAAATTAATTTTAATAAAATATATTTGTTTGTGACCATTTGTTAAAAAATTAATCAAAAAATATATAGATAGATTGCAAATTTAAATTTACTACTTGATAAATTGAAATTTATTGATATAAAATGTCTATATCCATGTTAATATTTTATTAATAATGTAAATTTCTTTCTATTAACACACTATTAGTATTAATAATATTAATAATGGGAAAACACTTAACAAGAAAAAAATTCTTCCTTAAATATGTACTTCATTTAATTATAATATTAAAATATACTCTAATTAATTGTTTGTGTAATTTTGTAATTCGAATGAATAATTTTGTAATCGAAATTTTGAAGGATCGTATGGTGATCATCGTTAAATCATTGTCAAATCATTGCTTTTGGGAACCGTCAAAAAAATCCGTGTTTAATTCCAGCCCTGCAACGCGTATCCCCAGGTTTTAACGGGGCACCGAACTAGACGACATGAATGGATCCCACAAGTACCGACGAAAAATACATAACTCTACGCGATGAAGATTGTTTCGATTTCTCGATCGTACGAATCACGTATTCGCTAACATCTACCTGATATGAATTCGCGACTAAGAATACAGAAGAAACGCGATATTCGCGATGTAATTTATTAATTCATTTAACAAATATTTAATTTTGATATGGAATTTGCAAATATATCTAATTAAAATCAAATATTAAATTTTGTGATAATTTTGTTAGCTATACACGAAATTTTGTAATATTGAAAAAACGGTTATCAAAT